GAAATTTTAAAATTTCCCGAAAAGGAAAAAACGTAGAAATGTGAATCAGACGTGTTTCCATCAACTGGCTTGAAGCAAATCAATTACATCTGATGCATGTGTGAAGTAAAAAGGAAGTAAAAGTTGCATCTGAGGACCATGGAGAGAAGTTATCAGGAACGTGTTGCTACTCTCAGGAAAGTTGTAATTATTCTGTCATATCAACTAGTTCAGGCGATTTTACATGCTGTCTGCAGACATAGAGAAAGAAAAGCAATTCTCCTCATGTTACGGGAATAACTGAGAATACGCCGACAGCGGGAGGAGGGTCCAGCTGGAGTCAYGGCCGCAGTCACTCTGGCATCGGTACAGCTAACGTTCAGACAGAAAGAACAGCTGCTCAACCATGTAATGTTCGCTACATCAGAACATTTTCAGCAAATGTGTTTCCATCTCTCCTTTTGCGCATTAACTCTTTTTTGAAAAAACCAAAAACCACTTCAAGCAAGCGTATGAACTTTTATGCAAATTAGAGGATTTTTTTTCTTCGAATCAAGCCGTTTCCATTCACCTTTTCTGATGCAATACTTTAAAATGTGCATTAAAAACGCATTTTAAAAAAAAATTGATGGAAACACGGCTACTCAGACACTTGTATATTAAACAATCACACCATTGTTATGTTTATAGCCTGGATAAAACCCTGATTTATAAACTTTTTGRGAAGAGGTAAACCTGTAAGTTCATAGAGGAGCACAGTGTCAGGACACATTACAAGGACAAACAGTACCTTTTAAACACTATAATTACCAGTGATTTCCTCTTCCAGCTGATTAGCTTCAGAGGTTAGAAAAAATACCAATGAACAATAAAAAAATAAATAAAACAAATAACAATAGGCTAAAGTCTGTGTCTCCTAAAAATGATCAGTGCTTTGGTTTCACAGCAGTAAGGACAAAGGTGTATGTATGCCTATCCGTGTTAACATGTGTGGCTTCCATCACACCTGTGTTTTTTTAAGGGTTCTGCTGACAGGGGTCATGAGGCTGTAAAGCTGCAGATGGGTGGATTCCTTGCCTGTCAGTGTAATAGTCAACCTTTGATCCAAAGGGATCCTGAATGTTTTACAAACCACAAGGCTTTAGCCAAAGATGCAAACTATGCCACAGTTGGTCTGGTTGCTTCTGTTGGTGGATCAAAGCCACRATGAGCCTCTACATGCCCCATAAACACTGCCACTGGCTAATAAAGATGTAATCCCATCGCTGAGTGTGTAACATGGATCACGGACGACTACCCAAGGTCAGAGGTCAACCTTATCCATTTGGAATGTAAGCATCAGATTGTTGAGGCTAAAACTTTAGGAGACTGAGCTTAACAAGAAGTCAGAGTTGTCACAGAAAGCTTCGTTTCAAATAAAGTAAAAGAAAAAGTAAACTGCTGAAGCTTGAGCGGCACTTTAAAGTCAGACATTATGTTATTTCTTATCTGATGAATGTTGATTGAAACTCTATCRGATTATCTGGTTTCTTACTTTGGCCCCAGTATCTCCAAACCAGCAGACTTCTTAAGTCCAGGCCCTTTGGCAATTCCACATTGAGTCAAAGCATTAGCTCATCTTTATTCCATCACCCTGTGGACTTTCATTTATTTCAAAGACAGAAAGATGAGGCTTTTTTGTCTTGTGTGTGTGTGTGTGTGTGTGTGTGTGTGTGTGTGTGTGTGTGTGT